AAAAATAATATTCCAAAATAATTAAAAGTAGTATTTTTCCCCATCTCTTGGTATTTTTATAACGTATGATAGATTACATTGCATGAAAAAGGTAAAAGTAATCTACCATTCTCAGTCTTCTTTACATATATGAGATTTGACACTTGCATCCATATTCACCAGTCGCATTGTGCTAGCGTTCCAGAAATGCTGGGCCTTCGCACTGACGTGTCCAAGGCTCGCAGATACTTTGCTGGCCTTTTATGTCGATGTTGAGATACTTAGATATCCAGGTTTAGGCCATCAGTTTTGATACGTGTTGTCTGTAAACCACATAACTAAGCCATAGCAGACGACATTAACAACATACTTCGGTCCTATATGATTTGACAGTCAGTCCCTGGGACTACACTACTTGTAGACAATTGATGAAAATTAAACCAAATGAGTTGCCTTTGCACGATGTCCCGAAGGCTGCCTAAACCATATCATGGCAGATTAACAACAAAAGGTCCTTTCAAAGGCAGAGTCTCTCGGCTGGGAAAAACTCTGTCATTCCGGAGCTCAGCCTCTGGAAGTAACTGAAGATAAACAACATAACAGCATACACAGAAAGAAGATCAAGTGGGTAAATCAGTCTCAGTTTAATCAATATAATAAAAAGAAAGTAGCATAAAATGGAATGAGGGGAGTCCAGCAAGGACCTGTGTATATATGTGAATGCAGGTTTGAACACACTTCCTATTGCAGGAGAATCAGGTAAAAGTGAAAATTACTTAATGTCACGCTAAATCCTGGGGAGCTTGATTTGCAAAATGACCTGACTTCAGATTCCTTTGCTACGCAAGCTAGTAGACTATCTCCATCCCATTATTTCTCCCACAAACTGGCTAACGATGGTGACGGATAAATTTAAGGTATGGACTGTGCAACAAGGAAGGAGGGATGCTGATGTTAGAAATGTGATCTGGGCCTTTCATATGGCTGAGTTGTATGCAGAGAGAAGGGAGAAGGTGCTGAGAAGGAGATTTGATCATTGTTTGTTAATTGGATTGGCCAGGAATGAATTTTCACCTCTAGAGGTGTTACTTTAAAAGACATTCCCAACCCAGAAATGAATTTCCACCTTCATCTGAAGCATCTGAGATTGTCCACAGCAAAAGACAGGGTACTGGATGAGAAGTGCCAGTCCATGACCACTGTGTCCTGCTCATACTCTGAGAGTTACAGTGATCGTGAGACTTAAGGTCCGGTAATAATTCTCTCCAGGTCCGGTAATAATTCTCTCCAGGTCAGACTAAGAGATATCACTGGAGATTTTTGCCTTTCGTGATCTATGGTGTGGTCTACTTTCTATAGTACTCTCCATGGAGTTGCTTAACAGAAGCTCTTCTCTTTCAGGGACCTGTTAAAGCTTTTGCTCTCTCCTATTACGTATAGTTCTGTTTTTTCAATCTTTTCTGTAGATTTAATGCTCATTATGTAGAATGTGATTTGTTCTGTGACCTTCTACATTAACCCTCTATTGCATGAGTGACCCTACCCATCCCTTTTATTGCAACATTTCAATTATTGCAGCTAATGCAAAGGAAGTGCGCGCTCTGGTAGTCAGGCTAACATACGGTTAGTATTCTTAGATGAAGTTTTTGGGCAAAGAAATGCCTCTTTGTAAGGTGTATGCAGCCCCAACACAATAGCTCTGGAACAGCTAGAGGACAGCCAGAGGAAAGTATTCCTATGAATTTCTGTGAATACTAATTCACAGAGAAGTCTGATCTTCCAAAGCAATCTTTTATCCTTTTGTTTTAAAGCACACAAATTAGAACCCAACATGCTCCCTGCATACAGTTTTAGCAGGTAAATTACAGTCTCATTCTAACTCTAGTAAAAAATTACAGTCTCATTCTAGCTCTAGCAACTGCTTCTATTACCCAATAAGGAGGAGCTACAGTTATTTTTAGAAAGAATCTACAAAAACCAAAACCAAAAAGACATCAGCAAACATAATTAAGTTGGCAACTGGCAATCTATGAAAGCACTGAGGCAACACTGCTACTTGGTTACACCCATGTCTTCCATAAATCACACTCAACATCTGACCTCTTTCTGGAATTTTTTCAGTTGTTGCTGATGATCCTTTTTTGGGTCATTTTCCCAAAATGCACATGTGGTTCTTTGTTCAGAACTTTATGATGATTATAAGAGCCACTCAGTCCTGGTAACTTACAACAAATATTGCAGCTAACACAATGCTTCACATACACAGGAAACAGCTGGATAAATGGATGTTTAAATGGATTTCCATAAAAGCCAATGATTCACGAAAACTAGTGTACACATGGTAGGGTCAGCTTCAGGCTTCTTTGGAGCGCCTACTGCCTGAATAGTAACACCCCATGTGTGGTCAGTCAGGAGCACGTGCACCTGAGAATTACGCCACTGTAGCACCGCTCCAGAGAGTTACCCTAACATCAACCCCGAGCACCATAGGCAGATTTAGCAGAAGAGGAGAAGTTTATAAAATATAGCATTGGGAGGTATACTTCATGTACATTTTCTGATGCCAGTTCAGTGTTTCTTAGCTGGACATGAAAAAAAAGTGACCTCATACGCCAAGAGAGGGTAATCCACACGTTATTAATGCTTTCCTTTGTTTTATCTCTCAGCAGCTTGAAAGTAGGTTCACTGACAAGGACATCTGAGCACAACAGAAAGCCTGACTCTCGACCCAAACCCATCTGCAGAGGAAAATCTGCTGTACTTTCAATGGATCTTAAGATTCCTCTCTCATTCCCTCCATAATAACTAGATAAAAAGGACTCTTTACCCAAAGTTCGACTCATGTACTCGCCAGCTGGTATTACTCATTATAGCAAAATGATGTTAGGCCAGCATAAATCACTTTCCATGTCACATAAATTGGGAGATGGAAAATACCATTTAGGTCATCCAGTTCATCAACTCCTGCCAGCATGGAGTTGTTCCTGACAGTACATTTTCCATAGCTTTTTTCCTGTCCACTTTGAAATGACTCAAAGCAAAAGGGCTCCACCACTCCCCCTCAGGGACTCTTCCACAGCTAACAGAACTCAACATCAGGACATTTTCCTTTGTAGTGCACTGAAACTTTCCTTTGCTAAATGTCATCTCATTATTCCTATCATGGACCACCCTGAACTATTCCGCACTTTCCTTGATGTTTATCACTAAGTTTTTATTCTGTGCCTGTCACCATAGTATCTGAATACTTCTGATCTTCAAATACCTCCTACTATGGATAAAAGAAGGCAGGGTGCCTAGTGCTTGGAGAGGTGGCCAAGGTCCACCATCCCCTACACTGGCACGTCTCACAAAGACACCGTGGACAAACCATCTTCAGTTTGTGGCTCATGCAGACATACCCAGACAAGCTCTAAATAAACTAGCTGAAGTAACAAGGCTAGTATGGTGTTGTAGCACAGATTTTAACCACTTGATACCTACCTAAACCAAAAAAAGCAAAAAAAAAACCCTAGAAGCCTGAACTGCTATCTCTACATGGTCTTTTATAAATGATGAGGAGATTGAGTCTGGTGGCACTTTGTGGGACATATCTTTTGGCTGCACGCAAACCTCTCTCCAACATCCATCTCAGGGATGGGACTGAACCCAAGCTGGCGTTCATTGCTTTTTTTGCAATTTTTTTTTGCAATTGCTTCATTGCCTTTGTCAATAATGCTTGAGACTCCAGAAATTCTCCAAAAACCAGGTATTTTCCTGGGTCTTTCTCACATGACCTGGGCATAGGTGAGAAAAGCCACAAAATAAGGGCCATACATACCCAGGCTACTGTACTTTGCCAGGCTACTTGCTCTGCTGGGCAGAGCAAGACTTTGGGAAAGCTGATTTGGATCTTAAGTTTATGGCTCCAGTCTCTGTCATCTCAGCAGTGATGTTAGCAGGGTAACACTTGCATCTCTGACACAAGGCACCATCAGTCTTCACATCCGGTGAGGAAGCCGTCAGTGGGGGGG